CAATTACGTATCGGTTTTTAACATGACCGATACATGAAATACTAGACGTTAAATACAAAGAAATCGCCTCATTAAACACCACCATACGTGAAAATTGATACAGACTTTTTAATTAGCAAGCCAAATTAATTTAAGTACTGTCATCATAATACAAAAAGAAAAAAAAAATCTATATGCGAACCGCATCATCAACATAACTTTGTACCAAATGCAGCATGTTTCAAGGGAGTGAAGCGTTTGTAGAAATGCCTCAATGGCCGTTATTCCTAATAAACGTTTCCTCTCAGCAAACAGTCGCTAATTATATTTAATTAGCACAAGATTACAAACAGTAATCAACATCATTGTTAGAGAACAGAGATATTACATGGTACAGAGGTCTCCTGGTGCTGAACTGATGGAGTTATGTGTGTGATACTTTTCAAAATAAAAAATAAATAAATAAATAAATGGTCCCAAACCGATCTCCCTTTCCAGGCGGGATGTCCTTGTTGTTGGGTTATGATAACTAGGAAGTAAATACGAACGAAATGGCATATTGGCATCGTACCAGTCAAATCTCCTTCTCTTTCCGGTCTTTAGTCTTTACTCTCTTACTCGCTCCATTTGTACGTCACAGACACACCGGCAACTTGTGTTTTTGCCTGGTTAAACGTAATTTGAGCTTTTGAGAAATTTGAGGTGATTGACATCTCTGCATCTCTCTGTCCCCCGATTTTCCTCTTTTCTGCTGGGCCCTTCTCCTTCATTTACTTTCTAATATTGATTTGACGCAAACTCAGAGACTCCTTTAGTCCTTAGCGTTGCCTATTTGCCCATCTCGCTAAGAAAGAAAAAGAAAAACTAAATCCGGTGCTCATCTAATCTTATTCTTGGAAGTTGGAACTAGAGCAGAAAACAATGGACGCTTAACCTTTAATTATGGTTTATCAGTTTATGTATGATGATGATCATGACAATATGCCCCTCTTTTGTCTGATCTGCCCTCTACGGCCAATCTTTAATTCTTTATAGGGAGGAAGGCCGAAGGCATTTAATTATGATTAACACGCCACAATGCCACTGCACTTGGTAATCATGGGGATACCATCTGTTCCCCAGAATGCAGTTATGGACCCACCCACATTGCATTTTGGGTTACGTTCGAATTTAGAAAGCCCAAGGCCCACCCCCATGGCGGCCCACCTGGCCCCTTTCTTCGGGCTCATCTCATTCTCAATCTCTCATCAAGACATCTACTGGGTGCAGTGACCGAGTGGCTAGGTGGGTAGGCAGGCCTGGACAGACAGTGGACACACACACACACACGATGACTATTGAGGTTTAAGCGTGACTATATGCAATAGAAATATAGTCCTGAATGGGGTTGAGTTGAGGATTATGAGTTACGATAACTGGGTCAAAATGCAAACTTTAAGGAAATGAGTCAAATGATCAGACGTTCTGAGCCAAAGGGGAAGAAGGGTCATGGGTTCGTACCGTCAGTCCAGGTCCTGGAGTGCATGTGTGTGGGTCAGCGTATGGACTCTGGGAGGGGTTTAGGGTTCTGGTGATTGAGATTTGAGAGAAATCAGAAATGGACTAGTCAGAGAGAGAGAGAGGGTACGATGAATGCGGGCGATATACAAGACCAAGATCGATGGATGCCATCAGTGCATCGCATCACACACCAAAACGCAAACGCTTCCGGCTTCCCCGCCCAGTGTGTACATGTGCGTGTTGTGTTTGTCAACAGTGCACACTGGGTTGCACCACCTGCACCCAGCAGCAGCAGGAGCCGGCATGAATCTCGAGGGCTCCTTTTGACACCGACTGCCCAATGCAACCCATCTGCCTTCTCTTCACGAGTCCCTCTCTCTCTCTCTCTCTCTCTCTCCCTCTGTGCATTGCTTTAATATATATAACTTAACAACCACTATGACTTTGTTAAAGTTGAAAACTCTTGCTTTTTGAAACAAACAAATGTTCGTTTGACAACTCAAAATTTTAAAGTCGAAACGTTGTGGTTTAAAGGTTAAGCAATGCTTAGTAGTCTCATCTTTTGTACAGACAAAAGAACACCGCAAAGCACCCCACTTTCTTCCTTTTCTTAATTCTCCACAAAGCAAAAACTTGTATCATCATGATTTAATTGACTATTGTTTCTTAATATATATTTATATACTGAAGCTGTCAATCTGTACACTACAGACCCAACGATGCAACTGCACACAGACACTTCAAACATGCATTCATGCAACTTTACTATTCACTGCCGTAACTGATCAGCTGATACATTCAAGTGAAGTAAAGAAATCAAACCACTCTCTCTCATGTAGCTAGGACTTGCCAGAAACATTAAAGCTAAGCACATACTTGTTCATTTTGATCAGTGTCTTTGTAGGTTTCCCTTTGTGCTGTCTATTCTCATTCTCCTGTGAATACCCCTCATTATCCCTTTGCGTGCATGTGATTATGTTTACGCGTTTCAATGGCAATACACATTCTTCTGGGTTCTGTCTGTATTATTTTGTATTTGGGATCTTTTGTTTTTTTCGTTTTTAATTTATTGTTTGAGACTCTGAGTTAGATTAGAACAGAAAGATATATCCATGCAGCAGGGAAGAAATGGAATCTGTTAAGTCACACAAAAGACATAAATTTCCAACAATTCATTTATGAGACACAACCCCATAAAGACAGTGAAGGTGGCTCCAAATTCTTCAACGTAACTTTGGGCGTTGCTCAACAAGGCAACTACGAAAATACCCGGCCCACTAGTATTATATTAAGTTGATTCCAATCCGATGGTCCTGAACTGGGTCACATGTGGGATAGTTCATATTGCATACACCTTTTGTTTAATATCTGATGCATTATTCTTTTCATGGTTTTTAAAATCGAATCCGTTAGGAGTCCAGTTATCGGTTCGAACAGTTAGTCCGTTCTAACAAAAAAATAAAAAATGGTCAAAACCGTTCAAACGGTTTGAATAATTAATCATCCGGTTCAATGATTTATTGACCAAAATCAACAATTTTAAAGAAAAAGCAATTTTGGGGGAACGAACCAATTCCCAGTTTTTTTGATTCAGTCCGGTTTTGAAAACCATGTTTCTATCTATCTGGAGCACATGTTTGTGTGTAGAAGCTACAAAACATTCTAGTATTCTTTTGTCTCCAAACAATATATTAGGATTGAAATGACCAAACCAACTAAGCTATTAGCTTAGCTACCCTCTTTATTATTTTTTTTGTTTTTATTTCACTCAAAATAACCATGCTTTGCTACCTATTGTTGAGTTGCTGAAATCTATATATATGTTGAGTTGGTCACGGCTTTCCGTACCCTAAATTTGGTTTCATCTCTCTCTCTCTCACTTGAGGGACCCTTAGCAAGGGGGCTTTGCTGGCCAACTTTTACCCCCCGTTTTGCAGCCAAGGCCCACTTGTTTTGTTGTTAAAATTGTTGATGTACCCTCAATCCTGCGCAATCCCATTGGCAGCTTTCCTTTCTGTTTTTTTTTTTTTTTTTTTTTTTTAAAGAACTAATTAAAACATTAACAAACAAACATTAATAAAACATAGAATATTTGAAAATTTTCTAGAATATTAAAAATTTGAAAGAAATGAAAATTTTTTTTTTTTTTTTTTTTTTTTTTGTCTCTAAGTGACAAATTAAAATGACCCCCTTAAGAGGGGTTTCCTGATTTGCAGTATTTACAGCACTTAGACAAATACCCAGTTACCCACCATAAATTATAAATTATAATGATAAATCACTTCAATACTTCATGGACCATGAGATGAAATCCAAACTTGGCCCAACATTTTTGTATGATTATATTGATTTTGTTCACCTTTCCCATTGATTTACCAGGTCACAAAATGTATGTGTTTTCTGGTGTTCTCGACCTGTCATTGATCCGACTGGACTGGTCCAACCGATGACCCAGACAGCTGACTGGGTCCCGGGTTGTTTTCTTCTTTTTTTTTTAATTTTATGGTCTTGAATCTTCATCATTTTCTCCAGGTGAACCGTCACTTGAACCCTTCGACCTGCCACTCCCACAGTTTTCGGATCAACGTCCGGGTCAGCATTTAAAGCATCGCTGTATGCTATATGTCTGTACTGTAGTCTGCGTTATCTACTACTCTGGTATTTCACATACATACGGGCTTCCGGCTTAATGAGGTTGGTTATACCCGGACAGCCTATAAGCCCAAAAGACTCCAAAAGCCCAAAAGCCAGAATAACTATCTGGCCTTCTACTAAAGCTTCTTTTAATGGTTTCTCAAAAACAGAATTCACGACCACAAGGGATGGGTTCTTGCCTTCTTGGGTTGGGTTGGGCCACAGACCCATACGTGATTCATAAATTTTGTTGAGGGCAAACAGAAAAACGTGCTTTTTCGTGCTGTAGAAATTATTATTGGAACCCGAACACGTGTCATCCAGAAAGGGCGAGTGAACAGAATTATTTTCCTGCAAGTTTTTTGTTACTCGAGCGAGTGGAATAAACAATCAATAAAATAAAAGGTCCGGTCGTATGTATCGAGTGATCTTTCTTTCTTTCTTTGGAGTCTGGGAGTCTGGACTGCCACCGTCCGTCCCCACGATAAAAGGAGTGCGGCAGCTTTTCGACACCGAAGACTTCGCGGGAGAAACGAGAAAGACGAGGGAGCTGAACAGCTGTTGCCGCCGTTGGGGGTTGGCTGGGCAATTTCGTAATTATATATAAAATAAAGGGTGAGTTATGGCGGGGATCCCGAAGTGCGAGAGAGATTAGAGAGTAGACTAGAGACCGCAGTCCGCAGACCAGAGGGCATGCATTGTGTGCGGTTGGGTAGTCGAAATTCGAAAAGTAGGCAGAACCTGCAGCACCAAAGACGCGGGCCCGAGTCCGACCCGATATTATGTTCTCGTTCTCTCTCTCTCTATTTTATGGTCTTTCTCTCTCCAGTATATATACCATAAATAAAGAGGACCTGTCTCTCTTAAGAGAGATTCTGAGTCACGATGGAGTCCTACCCACGAACACGAACACGAACACACCCCGATATTTGCAGCCAAAATTAAGGGGCCAACAACATCGACATCTCTCTTTCACCATTTTCTCTCTCTCTCTCTCACTCTGTGTCTGTGTCTGTTTGTGTGTGTCGAGGTCAATTAATTACTCTTCCCTCCCCATCTCTCAAGTCGCAACTCGGTGAAAATATGATAGCGAACACTGTAACAATAGTAATATTTAAAGGGATTAAAGATTGTTTTGTCCATTTTTCCGCTTTTTATGGTTGCTTTTCTATTTATTTTAGTTTATTTGCTTTTGCTGGTCTGGTGTGCCTCTGTTTTGTTTCATTCTAAAGTTATTTTGCAGAGGTTCTGATATAATGAGGTAATTCTTTCTCTCGGCCATGCCTTAGCTTTGTTCGTGTTTTCGTCCGTTTCTTTGTTGTTGTTATTCTCTGTTCTCAGTGATTTCCTCTCGGCATTCCATTTCAACAAATAAAATTCTCCCATCCGGAGGATGATGGGGATTGGAGACTGCAGAGTTGAAATTTGAAATAAATTAAATAACAAAAATAAAGAAGAAGAAAAGGCAAAGTAAAGGATGTGGGGTGTGCGTTTTGTACTGTCTCAGCCTGTACACCCACTCAACTCTCTCTCTCTCTCTCTCTCTCTCTCTCTCTCTCTCTCTCTCTCTCTCTGATTAATAACAGTCTCAGTCCAAAACCCACCACCAACATTGGCTTTTTTCCTTTTGTTTCTGTGCTTCTGCTCCCTCTGCTCAGTACTGCAAATGGGTGAGGAATCATATTTTGAATTTCTTGATATTATTTGATCGCCATTCCGTTTCTTTCATGCTTTAGCTTTCTGGGCACTCCCAAACATGAACACCTTTATTATTCTTTCCTTTCCTTTCCCTTATCATCTTTTACCTTTCTGGGTATCTCTCCATGTATGAATTTGTTTTTCTTTTTCTTTTGGGACTTGCCATCCACTTTTTTAATGTTCTAGCCATGTCGGCACCCTTCAAATTGTGAACTTATGGTTGTTGTCTCGTTTTCAATCCATTTTTCCCGCGTTCTAGCTCTGTGATTATTCCCTTGAATTTCACTTCATCCCTCTGTCTTCTCTCCCTTGCGGGTCCTTGTGTAGCGGGTTGTACTTTGTCTTGAACTTCTACGAAAAATTCCAGTGTTCATGGAAATTGATTTGAACCATGCAGTGAAAGAGGGGGAGAAGAGTGCATGTTGTCAAGGAGATTGTGAGAAGGGTGAGGGTATCGGTTTTTGTTCTTTGTCTTCCTCGTCTTCTTCCTCTTGTTCCTCAACTTCTATTCCTTCTGAATCTTCTTCAATTTATTTGGAGCTGTGGCATGCATGTGCTGGCCCCCTCACCTCCTTGCCAAAGAAAGGCAACCTGGTTGTCTACTTTCCACAAGGTCACCTGGAGCAGGCTGCTACTGCCTCACCTTTCCCATGCTTGGAAGTGCCTACCTTTGATCTCCAACCTCAGATCTTGTGCAGGGTTGTCAATGTCCAACTGCTTGTAAGTGATGGGTTTTCTAAACTTGAAGTTGAATTCTCTCTCTCTCTCTCTCTCTCAGAGATTTTCCTTTTACTTGGGTGTAGGCTAATAAGGAGAATGATGAGGTATATACACAGGTGACACTCCTTCCTCAACCAGAGGTAATGCTATTAAATTGCTTCCTGAGTGTTTCTCGTGCATGTTTTCGGCATAGACTAATTTTAATTGAGACGTGAAGGACAGCTGTTGACCTGGATATGTTTCTCTTTTCTATTAGATATTGTGAAGCCTTCTTGATTTGGCTCTAATGTGTGTGTTTGGTTTATACGTTTCTAAACGCAGTAGCTTAGGCTCTGCTGATGCTTTTACTCTTTGAATTTTTTTTATATAGTTAGGGGAGAGGACTTTAGAGGGCGAAGGGCACGAGGATGATGTGGGGGCAGAGGAGAGTGGGCATATACCGAGCAAATCAACCCCTCATATGTTCTGTAAAACACTTACAGCCTCCGACACGAGCACCCATGGTGGGTTCTCTGTCCCTCGTCGAGCTGCGGAAGACTGCTTCCCGCCATTGGTGAGCATTTCCCCCAAGTTTGAATAGATTTAATAGATTGGACCATTAGACTTGAGTCCTTGACGATGCTTCCCCAAGTGCAGGATTATAAACAGCAAAGACCCTCTCAGGAGCTCGTTGCCAAGGACCTTCATGGAGTGGAATGGAGATTCCGCCATATTTACAGAGGTATGTTTTATAGGAATTGGTTTGCAATTATTTGGTTGAAGAAAGAAAGTTAATAGAATTTAATGTTCACCTTTCAGGTCAGCCACGGCGGCATCTTCTTACTACAGGGTGGAGTATTTTTGTTAGTCAAAAGAACCTTGTTTCTGGGGATGCAGTGCTCTTCTTGAGGTACACGTGTTTCCTTGTTTCCCCTAAATGCTGCTCCTATTAAAATATGTTAAGCCTTGTCTCAAGTTTAAGTGATGATTTTGAAGGGGTGAAGATGGAGAACTGAGACTAGGAGTTAGAAGAGCTTCTAAGCCAAGAAAATCTCTTCCTACTTCAATTATTAGCAACCACAATATGAATCTCAATGTTCTCTCACCGGTGGCTAGTGCAATATCCACCAGAAGTATGTTCCATGTGTTCTACAGCCCAAGGTACTATCGTTTACCATATTGTTCAAATTTCAAAGAGGTATCTAAGAATGTCATGACACCTTTTTATCTGTCATTGTTACTGGCATTTGCATGGATCTTAGTCCTTAGATAATTAATCCAGAGAGGTGGGGTGGGGGAAGCAAGTTAAGTCAACCATAAGCTAAAAATCATGCCGCTTATCATGCATTTCTTGTCTATGAATTACTGAAGAGCAAGTATATTGATATATACTTCCTAAAACTTGTTAAAATGCAGAGCAAGTCCTGCAGAGTTTGTCATACCTTACAAAAAATACGTGAAAAGCATCAGGCATCCGATATCAATTGGTACAAGGTTCAAAATGAAATTTGAAATGGAAGACAGAGCAGAAAGAAGGTATGGTATTTTGTGATAACCAAATTTTCAATTATATGTTTCCATCTCCATAATCATTGCCAGAAAGAATTTGATTTTTCCTCTTTTTGTCAGATGCAGTGGTGTAGTGACTGGAATAGGTGATTTGGATCCTTGTAGATGGCCTAATTCAAAATGGAGATGCTTGATGGTACATGCCTTGTAATTTGCTATGTACAATCTGGAGTTTTAATATACGAATGTCTGTTATGACACTCTTAATCATCTACTTTGTGACAAATCCTCAAAGTTGTAGCTTGTTAGAGTGCTTGTTAATCTTGCTCTGTTATCATGCTATTGTATTGGTTTTAAGTGTTAAATTTGCTTGACCACTACATACAGGGTATGAGGAAAGTACTGTATATAATAAATAGACCATTATCGTTGCTAATATTGTAACTATTGTCTAACATCCATGTGGAATTAACTACTTGGTTATGGCTTACAACTATATTCCTCACAGATCTCATGTTCATAAGATGGCTCAAGTTGACTGAGATCCCCCAATGTGATTTGGTGGATAGAGATTCCAGATTCCAATTTTTAAGATGATGGCTTATTATATTACAGAACCAAGTTATTTATTTATGTTGCATGATTGAGATAGTACAGTCAGCTGAATTTTGAATGTAGAATACATCTTCCAGGAGACCAGGACCACCCTGTGTGTGCCACTTGTAACTTCTTTTTTATTAAAGAAACTTTATGGTATAACACGGGTACCCTGGATGTTATGTTCCAAATACCAACTGCTTCGTAAGATTCTTAAAGTGTAGTCTGAGTGTTCGTTAACATGCTTTAGTTCCTTCTAACTACTAGTTCTGGTTTTGACTGCGGTGCCAACTGCCAACTTTTAAACTACGATACTGAGATGCCTGTACATGGGTGTCATGTCATACACTTCAATTCTTAGTTAGTAAATTACATGCCTAACGTCTTTTCCAGCTGTCCAAAGTGTATCTGGGTATGAGTATCATATGTTTTAATTCTATTTGTGATTTAAAGTGAAACACACATAAGTCATGAAATATAAATTTCTGCTATTTTTGCATATAAAAGCAAAGTTTACTAGTAATTTCATTTCTCAAGTGCAAGTTTGTCAGAAGCTCAAATATTTTGTAGCCATGGTATGTATAGCCTTTTAATCTCAAAACACTTTCTGCCACTACATACAATAGGTTAGATGGGATGAAGATATTGCTAGAAAACATCAAGAACGAGTTTCCCCATGGGAGATTGAGCACTCCATTTCTTTACCAGCTTTGAGCACCCCCTCCACCCCAAGGCTGAAGAAACTACGGATGGGTCTGCAGTCAACCTCACCTGACAACCCTGCTACTGGTATGGATCTAATCGTGGATGTCCCTAAACGAGTCTACATTGAATTCGTAATTTGTCTGACTTTTGGGTTAATTCAAATATGGTTTCCTTTTGCAGCAACGGGATGTGGGTTACTGGGCTTGGATGAATCTCTTAGATCATTTAAGGTCTTGCAAGGTCAAGAAAATGTAGGTTTTATGTCACCACAGTATGCAGGTGATAAGGTAAACCTCCCTTTGGACTTCGAGGTGCACAATCTCGCAAACCAGAATCTCATCAAAACTGGTTTAGCAGCTTCTGACATCAGTCATTCTATGTATATACAGCCCACTACTTACACAGGTCTTTCTGAATCCAATAGATTCCACAAGGTCTTGCAAGGTCAAGAAATTTGCCCACCTAGATCCCTGCTTGGAAGAGCTGAATTCAGCCTTGGTTCTTGGGGAAAAAATGATTTTGGTTGCAATGTGTTCAACATGTACCAAAAATCCAATCCTCATTTCCATCCATTTTCTCCAGATGGAATTAGAACCATCTATATGCCATTTAGTGATATATACAAGTCAAGGCATGATCCCGTCCTGCACCCATATATGACCAACTTCCATGGTGGGAGCGTCCAAACAAACTTGTCTGCCCAAAGAAACCTCTCTTGTCTTATCAGGGATGAAGGATGCCACCCAGGTTCACAGAATCCAACGAAAGAACAGAAGCCGCAGGAAGATTTATCCATTCTGACCATACAAGCCACAGAACCCAAAATTTGTGGGAAGGATGAAATTTGGGATGGATCTAAAACTGGCTGTAAACTGTTTGGGTTTTCCTTGACTGGAGAAACTCCAGTTCCAAATTCACAGAGCTCAAGGAGGAGTTGCATCAAGGTAAGCTGCAATAGCAGCACAGTCAGATATTAATTGCCTTTCCTTAGTTCCTTTTCTTGCTGATCCTAAATAAACTGAGTGAAGGTTCACAAACAAGGAAATTTGGTCGGAAGAGCTGTTGATTTATCAAGACTTAACAGTTATGATGATCTGCTGAATGAGCTAGAGCGGCTATTCAACATGGAAGGCCTTCTACGCGATCCAAATAAAGGATGGCAGGTTGTTTACACAGACAGTGAGGATGATATGATGATGGTAGGCGATGATCCTTGGAAGTGAGTGACTATGTCTCATAAATTGAACTTTCTAAGTTATTTTTTCTTGTATTCCTTTGATCAACCACTAAATTGTACTTTGATGGTTGACAGTGAGTTCTGTAATATCGTGTCCAAGATACATATATATACGCAGGAGGAAGTGCGGAAGATGACCTCTGGAATGGTCAGTGATGACACTCAAAGCTGTTTGGAAGAACCACCTGCATTAGTGGATGTGTCAAAATCCTCTTCAGTGGGTCAGCCTGATTCTTCTCCAACAGTAATTAGGATTTGACAGTATGTTTGTCTAGGATTACGTTTGCTGAAATGAAATCTGTGACTTTCCGTAAAAAACTTGAACTTATTCCTACTCTCCTTATCAGCTCAAACTTCAGTTGCATTTCAATAAATAGCATCATTCATCGGTATATAAAGTGGGAATCTGTGTTCAAACTGCATTAATTTCTTAGGCTGCATTTGGTTGTCGTGCAAATTTTCTTGACTGGGTGCAAAATTTGTACTCGGTTCAGTTTTCCTCTCATTTCTTTGCAATTATGATTTTTACTTTTTGTTTTACCTAAATTCTTTTTCATATAAAGTGGGGATCACTTCATCTTGCTTCCGCTTCATACCTTGCTCCTAGACAGATAACCCTCCTACCTCCATTCCCTTTCATTTAAAGTATATAAAGCGGAGGCCACTTTATTTTATTTCTTATAGCAAATAAGACAAGCAAAAGTAAACCAGAATTCATACAAAGCCTTTTTGTACTCCCATGCATTTACACCAGTGCAATGAAATTTGTACCGCAACCAAATGTGGCCTCGGTGACTAACTTACATGGATGAAAAATTGCAAACGAGTAGATGGTAAGGACTTCATGGAAAGGAGGTAAGGTTGTCAATGGGTCAGGCAGAAGAATTGAACCAATTTTGTCAATGGGATGGGGATCGATTTTGTTTGCTCTAAACTGTTCAAGTAGACTCATTGTCAAATTACAGGTTAAAAGTATATATCTGTCGGTGATAATCGAGTTCCAATTGGATCAGACACAATAGTCTCGATTTATTAGAATTCAAATAAAGGAAGAAAAACCAATTCTCTCTTTTAGTTGCAGGTCTATTTGCAATTTGGGTGCTGTTAACTAAGCCCAAGAAGTAAGCCATGGTTGACCAAGGATGGGCCAAACCAGAAAGGGAAAATTAATGAAGAGGGGCGACCCCCATATCCCCTAGTAAATGGACGGAACCACAACCAGAATGGACTGGACCAACCTAGTAGAAGTTCTTTGTTTTGTGTATTCCCCTTCCGCAATTCAAGATGCATGGTTGGGTCATGGGTGGAAAGATAGCTTGGGGCTCAAAATGGCACCACATGTTCCCCTCTACAGCAAATTTGATCCAATGGACAGGTCATATTAGTGAGGTAGTGGTCCTTGAAGGCTTGAAGCTCATCAACTTGTTTGACTCATTTGCAAATGAAAGCCTAAGCAAATGGGTGGATACTGTTAAGTTTTTGACTGATATAAATGCATGGCAGTGTAAATGGTCCCATGGTTAATTCTGATTTACTTCTGCTTTTAGTTTGATTTTGATTTATTTGTTTGTCAGGACTCAGGAGTAAAATGATGTGGTCCTTACTTTAAATAAAAGAATGAAAGCAGGAAGAAGGTTTTTATTTTTATTTATTTAGTTTTTGTAGAAAGGGGAAAAAAAGGTTGTTTGGACTCACTTTATATGAAAAAATTAAAATAGGTAGAGAAGGTAGTGCAAATTTTACTTCAAGAAGCAGAAAGTAAGCTTGTCTAAGTCCAAATACCAGTTCTTTCTTTTATGCCCACTACTTCACCTATAAAATTGTAGTCCAAACACATTTCCTTCTTGTAGATAGCCTTGAGTAGATCTGTTCATCGGCCGGGCCGGGTTTTTACTCATCATTAATGGAAATACGCTAGGTCCGAGCTCGAGCCCGGCCCGACGAACAGGCCTATAACTTGGGCCCGAGCTTGCCCTGATAAAAAGCCCGAATCCCGAGCCTGAGCCCGAAGCCTGACCTAATAAAAAAAATTACAATTTTCCCTATTCAAATTAGAATTAAAAATTCAAATGGTTTTTTTTTCCTATTTAAATGAACAATGGGCCTACAATATGGTTTTTTTCCCTTTCTTTTACGTTTTAAAACAGTTTTATATTCTTGAATCAAAAAAATTATTCAAATGGACATAATCACATAACCCTTTTTAAGTCTAATTTTAGGTCGGGACGGGCCAGGCTTGAGTCGGGCTATTTTGACAAAACCCGAGCCTGGCTTGAATTTATTGCGGGCCGGGCTTTTTGGCCCGAATTTAAGCCCGCGGGCCTATAAACATGTTCAAGCCCGTCGGGCCACCCGGCCCATAAACAGGTATAGCCTTGAGTTATTGACAGATCTGCAAGCCCATTAATTGGGCCCAGATGTTCGTTCAACTTATTCACGCTATGTAGAGTGAATACTTGCCTTGGTTTCCGTCAACTTATATACGATCATAATCAATACTTCCTTGTTAGTGGTGTCAATGGACCAGTTTTGGGTTGGCTTGTTTCAATCAAAATCAATTTGGACAGATTGGATTGACCAATAAGAAATATTGAATCAGACCAGTCAAGACTTAATGGTCCAAAGTATTTATCTGATTATATTGATGTAATGGATTTATATTGGGTTGGGTAGGATTAAAAACCAATATGGACCAGGTTTGGGTTGGAAGAATTTAAATTAAAACCAATTTTAACAAATTGGACAGTCCAAACATTGAATTCCACTGGTCCAAAAGATTTATTGGATTGGATCATATTGGACCTAATCCATCTGTGATGAATTCATATTGGACCGGATCAAATTGACCAAATCCGATCCAATTGACACCCCTACTTACTTGCGCACCCATATAACATGTGCTCAGTGCTCTTACTCTTAATGGTTATTAATATAATAATTATGTTTGAAGTTATAATTATACACATTTAAGATATATTCAACCATAAATTTTCATTTTTCCGGATTGTTGTGGGAACACTTAGAACCTCTATCACCCACCTATACAGGAGAATGCACAAAGACCATGTCTAACCCCAGCAGAGTAGATTTGACCGGATCTATAGCTGGGCTCAACCAGGCAGGACCTTATGCTGTGTTTGGTTTGAAGGAAAAAGTAGGGAAATGAAGGAAAAGATAGGGAAATCTTTACAAAGCTTGTATAGGTTTCCCTACATTTTTCTTCAAACCAAACATAGCCTTAGTGTAAAATCCTAAACCTAGCACATCTGTAGCTCCAGCTTGGGTGAGATGCCTGTTGCCAATACATACGCCAGGGACAGATTTTGAAATTCCATTGTTAGTTCTTCATTCTTCTCTATAGACTGCTAGAGCAATTTAGATTCAATCGCTAATGTTCATACAGTTTCTTCTGTCTAAGTCATGTGGAAAAAAAAATTAATTCCCTTAGGCTGGGTTTGGAAGGAGTACAAATACAAATATGTAGAGTGCAAAACCTTATATTTTGTATTATTTTATATGTTTTTACATTGTACATATTTGCATTTGTACTGCTTTCAAACTGAGCCTTAACAACTTCTTAGCGATAAGGCCCATCCATTGTTAGTTCTTAATCTTTTACTTGTACACGAGGCCCACCCATGGCCCACATCTTATATGTGCAGGAACACTGGTGTATTCACTCTTCATTTGTTTGACAGCTCAGTATGCACGACTTTGATGATGTTTGGCACCAATGCATTTTATTACAAGCATTCCATTTTGCTTCTTTTGCTCTTGAAAAGCACAAAAAAAAAATGCTAGAGTTGCATGTTGATTTGGTGATTAAAGTGTTTTGCCTTAATTTTTGCTATACTAACATGTGTGCACATGCAAAAGTATGATGATGATTATAATAACAATAATAATAATAATAATGTGTCAAAATTTGTTTATATTTTTTTATATCAAAATCATTCTTATTTATTATACTTATTTTTGTTTAATATGTTAAATATATAATATCATATATGTATCCAAATATTTTCTACAAATTTCTTATATTTTTTCATAATTTTTGTGTTATATTTTTAAAATTTTATCATTTAAATATGACATCAAGTTTGATACATTTGGCCCAAATGGTTGAACTATTGACCTACTACCAAATAAGAAATTAATTTAAATTTTTTGGGTTGATTTTAAATTTTGTATTTCATTTTCGTCATCAACAAAAAAATTTCTTGCTTATAACACTTATTTTTTTTAATATGATTAATATAAAATATTAGAGATGTGCCAAAATTTCCTATAATTTTTATAATTTTTGTATTTATTTTGATTTTAATGATTTTATTATTTAACTATGAGATATGGGTTGACCTATTTGACCAGGATGTTGAATTGCTTACCTACCACCTAAATGAAGGAATGGTTTTGTTTCTAAAACAGTTTTAAAAACATGTTATACTTTTAGAATTGGATAGAAATTTAGTTAGTAGATCTAATTGGCAAGAAGAAAATCTGAAATATAGGATTTCATGGAAATGAATGGAAGTTAAGACTTTAAATATAAAACTTAAGCTGTGTTTGGTTTGAAGGAAAAGGTAGGGAAAAGAAGGGAAAGATGGGGAAACCTTTGCAAAACCTTGTATAGCTTTCCATTCCTTTCCCTACCTTTTCCTTCAAACCAAACATAGCCTCAATGTGAGGGATCAAGTTCAAAAGTAAAGGTATTTTAGTTAAGAATAAAAGCTCCAAAAACTTAAATATAGGATTTAATGAGAAAGAATGTAAATTACCACCTTAAATATAAGACCTAATGAGGGAATTGAATGAAGTAAAAAATAGTAATTAAAATTACATTTTCTGCCCTCACAATTAAAGAGTGACTAAATACCAATACATATGGAGTAATGATCATAATTAATGATTTTTATTTGTAATGGATACAAATACAAATTCCAAGATTGGGATCTACCTTTTTTACATTAACCATCTTTGAATGCAAACTTTGCATCCATTTTTAGATGTAAATATGCCTTCAAATTGTGGAAATTGTCACTTTGAATACATGAATCCATTCTTGTCAAACACAAGTAAAACTGAATCAAAATACAGATATACACTGAACAGGCAATTGCATTCTTCGATTCGGTTTGTGACAAGTGTATTATACAGCTGTGATTACTGATTAGTTTAATGTAGCAATCTGGATTGGGACACGAGGAAATGGAAAAATTAAGCTTAAGAGCGTAACCACGTCAGCCCTAATTTAGGCATCCAGCTAAATGGGCGTCCCGCGTCTATAGGGCCTGAACCAAGGTGAGTCGGA